TTCACTTTCCATACAGCAGTTCACACACACGTTGTCTCATGACATTGACTATAATTTACCCCAATGCAACAGCTCCCCTCCCACTTCCTCCCGATAGTTACCTCTTCCCTGTGTCCATCCCTCCATGCACTCCTGGCCCCTGAGCTGTCTCCCTGTGCACACACAGCCCTTCTTTCTCTCATGATTGTTCTCTCCAAGGAGTGTATCTACCTCAGGTACATGTTCAACTCACATGTGTGTCTTTTGTTTGACTGGAAGCCACAGGTGTGGGTTGAATTCCAGACCTGAAGGGCAGCTAGGGGCCACAGTCTCAGTGGTTCCACCAGGCTCTATCGGACCAGCAAACCTGGTCTCCCCCCTTTTTTTTCCCAAATGATTTTGAGTTTTGTTCCACATTGTTCTCCCTCTCTATCCAGGATCTCCTACATAGATCCCCTTCTGAGTGGATGACATTGGTAGCCGGGCACCATCTAGTTCTTCTGGTCTCATAGTCGTATAGGCTGCAGATTGCATGGTGTACCAGTCACAAAGACTAATAGTTTCCATGAATTTTGGATTTCTTCATTCTTCTTTGCTCTGGACGAGGAGAGACCCATCGTTGCATCTAGATGGCTGCTTGCAAGCTTTGAAGATCCCTGTAGCTACTCAGCAAAGCAGGAGGTGGAACAGTGTTTTGTGTGGTATGTTGTGCCAGTCGAGCTCGATGGCCCCTGTGATACAGTAGTCTTTTGAAGGCCGTGGTTTGATTTCAAAAGCAGGTACTCCTCAGCTTCCTCAGGCTGGGTGCGTGTGCAGTCTGCTTTGGCCCTCGACTCGAGTCTCGGTCTCGTCTGAGATTGGCCATCTGACTTCATCAGGTGGCAAAGGAGGGCAAGGGTCCACAGGCTCTGAAACTGGTGAACGCCGGCCACAGACAGTGAGCTGGAAGCCAGCTCAAGAAAGGCCATTTAAATAGCGAATTGATATTTGCGTCATTTCTTTTGCAGTGTTTCTTCCTTAGCATCATGATCTAATGAATGCAATTGCCCTGTCCTGTGAGCTGTTCCTGTCTTGGTTTTATGATCTTAGGAATGTGGTTACAGGGACAGGATTCTTATATGATTATGGCTACAAGGAACAGAGTAAGGCACTGTTTAAATAGAACAAGATTAATGTGGAACTCAGAACACACATTCATCTCCCAGAAATTCTAATCTGCTCATCCGATTACGCTTTTAGCAGAAAATGATACTCTTAGCATTCTTCTCCAACACCACAACCCAAAAGCATCTACTCTTCTTTGGTTTCCTTATTCATTGTCCAGCTCTCACATGCATAAGAGGAGATTGAAAACACCATGGCGTGGGTCAGGCACACCTTAGTCTTCAAGGAGACATCTTTGCTCTTCAGCACTTGAAAGAAGTCTTTTGCTACAGATTTGCCCAGTGCAATACATCATCTGATGTCCTGACTGCTGCTTCCATTGGTGTTGATTGCAGAACCAATTAATACGAATTCCTTCACAACTTCCATCTTTCCTCCATCTACCATGAAGCTTTTATTGGCCCAGTTGTGAGGATTTTTGTTTTCTTTATGTTGAGGTGTAATCCATACTGCAGGCTGTACTCTTCCATCTTCATCAGTAAGTGCTACAAGTCATCCTCACATTCAGCAAGCAAAATTGTGTCATATGCATATCACAGGTTGTTAATGAGTTGTTTCGGTTACCTGGTGCCAAGGTAAAAGAAGATACCACAAATGGGATGGCTTTAACAAACAGGAGCTTATTCTCGTACAGTTTAGAGGCTTTAAGTCCGAGTTCAAAGTGCCAGGCTCTAGGGGCTGAGTGAAAGCCCCTCAACCTTGGGCTTCAGCTCTGCCTCTTGCTCCTGGCCCACTGAAGCTAGAGGCATCTTTTCACTCAGGCAGCTGCTGACTGCTGAGGCTAACAAGCCCAAGGTTGACAAATAAAATGGCACAGTCCCAATGTTACCAAACCACATGACAGGCCATTGATTCAAGTCCACTGAAAGTTCCAAGGTTGGCAGAGCATGGCAGGCTGCTGAACAATGACATGGCTACATGCAGGGTCCAAGCATGCCATAAGGTAGAGACCATTCCCCAAGGCTGCTCCTTATGTACAGGAAGCAGACCACATTCCTAGCGCAGCTACTCAGCTGCTCACAGTAGATTCCACCATGCAGTTGATCACTAGTCTCATCATGGGGAATAACTACATCCAGCTGCCCAGCCACTCAACCAGGCCCAGCCAAGTTGACACACAGACTTAACCACCACATGAGTCTTCCTCCAATCCTGACACCATATTCTTCTTCATATGGTGCAGCTTCTCAGATTATTTGCTCAGCATACAGACTGAATGTTGTTGTTGTTGTTATTTGCCATCGAGTCGGCCCCGACTCATAGTGACCCCTCCTTGG